CAAGAGGACAAAACTAAAGTACAGTAGCGCAAGTAGTGCTACTTGAATAGGGTGATGTGGATAGAGTTTAATAAGTATGAAACACTGAGTTGGATCAGTAATGTACATGAAACAGGTTTCACTGGGTTATATCAGTGATGAAGATGAAACATGATAGAGGTGAAACATGATGTAAGTGAAACATGATATAGGTAAAATGTGATAGATATGAAACACTGATGTAGGTGAAACACATCAAGTGATGGGATCAGTTATACAGGTACAGGGTCAACAACAAATAGTTAGGAAAAGAAAAAGAACTCCCCCTCCAACACTGTAACATTACCCCCCTCTCCAGATTCATTGTTCAGAGTTTCCATCGAGCGCGGCACTCCTGTAGGTATCCAGGTTTGTTGGTGGGACAAGGGAGTTGTCCAGGTTGTATATTGGTGGCAGTGCGGAATTTATGACAAGGGCGTAGGAGTCTGCAATAGGAGCATAACCAATGCCAACACTCACTTTGAAGATAACTGTCGACCTCACATTTGGTACAGAAACAAAGGCAGCGGAGCATGGCACCAGAAGGAGGAGTGATAATAGAAAACTCATGGCATTTGAGGTGTTCTTCTAAATTGGCAGCTTTGAGACGTGTTCGACATTGGCTCATCTCTTCCTCTGTGTAAAGAAGTTCTGCCCCTATAGATTGTCATGCTGCCAGAAGTAGATTAATCTTCACATTGATGGCTCTAAACCTATCCACTTCATCAGTCACTCCTGGGTCCTTGATATCTTGAAGTGATGCCCAAAGGCTCTCCAATAGATTGTCATCCCACATCAACAAATACTCCCAAGTGTCCTCCTCCCATTCTTTGTCTGAAGCATTCCAGTTCCCTACAGGTTCTGCAGTACACAATGCTGCAGCAGCAGTAGTTGATACCCGTTGTAGTCCAAATGCAGGATTGCCATTGATAGGAACACCCATGGGAGGTTGAGTGACAAAGTTAGTGTATGCTCCAGGAAAGTGGGGTAGAACCCGTTCCAAGGGGTCAACGTCTTGTATAGGGGTAGAGGTGTCAAAAGGAATAGATCGCCAGGACCTGGTAACATCATTTGAGGGTCGTTGAATTATGTTGTCACTGTAGACCACAAACTCCTGCGGGTCACTGCTGTATCCTTCTGATGCTGTAATATACTCACTGACATTGGTGTTGAACAAATAGTGAACGCACCTACAAGTTCTATGTACAGAACTGCTA